GGGAAGATTTCTAAGGCCAAAGGATGGGAAATCTGTGAGACCATGGTTCCTAGAAATATAGGGGAGCTTTACTCACGATATTTCAACAGCATGGCTGCCTAAGCAAGATTTGAAGAATTACAGCACCAATAGGCATATTAACACAGAAAGGGGAAATCTCATGAGGCCCGGCTCACACACACAGAACCAAGTAACGCTGACAGTGAGAGAAACAGTCTTCCCTAGGAATGAGCCCCCTAAATTGGTTAACCAATACCACTGGTCAGCCTTAAAATCATATACTGGCAAGTTGCATTTTATACATATAGTGTGTAAAATAATTTAAAAAAGAGGCTATGAATATGAGAAGGAGCTAAGTGGGAGGGGACATAGAGGGCAGAAAAGATGTAGTTATATTTTAATTTTAGACAAAGTGTAAGGACAAAGTACACAAGTGTTATGGATGCAGGAGGAAGAGTCGTTTTTCTTTGGGATGGTGTTAGATACCATGAAAAGGGAACTCATAAAAGAAAGCATTTAATTTGGGTACAGTTACAGTTACCTGCTTATAGTCAGAGGGTACTAACCCGTTACCATGTGGCAGGAAGCAGGCAGGCATGGTACTGAAGCAGTAACTGAGAGTTTTATGTCCTGAACCACAGGCAGCAGCAGGAGCTAGGCCTGGAGTGGGGTTTTGAGACCTCAAAGCCTATTCCCAGTGACACATCTTTTCCAACAAGGTCACACTTCCTTCGACAAGGCTGCACCTCCTAATCTTTTCCAAGCAGCGCATTAAACGGGGACTAATCATGCAAAAATATAAGCTTATGGGAGCCGTTTCCAGTCACACCACCAGAGGTGGCAACTGGTAGGTGGGTGGTCCAAGCCCCAGTAGAGGACTTTGTACCCATGAGCATATGGACAGCATTACTTGGACTCAGTGTGTTACAATAACAAAGAGGATGTTTAAATTGGGAGGGAGATAGGTTGGGAATGGGCCTGGGGGAAGTTGAATGGGAGGGAATGGGGAGTAGATATGACTAAGATACACTGTGTATATGTATAAAGTCTTCAAAAAAATAAAAAAGAATTAAGATGATAAAAAGTATGTTCTATACACTATACTTTTTCTGTATGTTTGTTTCTCTGTATAGTCTTAGCTGGCCTAGAACTTGCTCTGTAGATCAGACTGGCCTTGAACTCACAGAGATCTGCCTTGCTTCCCAAAGGCTGAGATTAAAGGCTTGCGTCACCTCTTCCTGGCTTCACTATATCTATTTTTAAAGTTTTCTTGTATTTATTTTTCAAGGCTTACCACCTGTGTCACTGATAGATTCTCTCCCCCATGAAACTTGTATTTTTGCTGTGTAAATGGGTATGGAGAACTGCTCATGAGCCCCTGTCACTGTACACTCTGGTCTCCTGGGTATGAAAGGCTCAGGTGTCTCTAACTCCAGAAGGTGGCGGAACAGAGTGACAGCGTGGGCTAGGATGGGTGTGATGACTCGCATCTAGAGTTCCGGCACTCCCAGCACTCCGGAGGCTGAGGCAGGAGGATTGCAAATGTGAGACCAGTCTGCACTATAGAGTGAGTTCCAGGCTAGGCTGGGCTCTGTAGCAAGACCCTACACTAAAAAACAAAACAAGCCAGGTGGTGGTGGTGCACTCCTTTGATCCCAGCACTCAGAAGGCAGAGGCAGGCGGATCTCTGTAAGTTCAAAGCCATCCTGGTCTACAGAGCAAGTTCCAGGACAGGCTCCAAAGCTACAGAGAAACCCTGTCTTGAAAACCCCACCCCTGCTCCCCCAAAAAGTCCGAAAGAAAAACAAAACAAAACAAAAATTGTTAAGGTTGTCTCAGGTACAGCCACTTGGAAAATGGCTCACTGCTGCCTTATGAAACTGAGCAGAGAACCGGCACTTGCAGTCTCAGCCATTTACCCAGGGGAGTGGAAGTGTGTCCGCACAACACCTGAGCAGAGATGTGCACAGCATAAGTGTGTCCGCATAACACCTGAGCACAGATGTGCACAGCAGCTTTACTCATAAATGCCCAGACTTGGGGTCACAGAAGACGTTCTCCAGTAGGAGAGGGATAAATAAACTGACATAGAAAATATTATTGGGCACTAAAAAGAGGCAAGCAGTCAAGGAATGGACAGATATGGAGTTTGTTTAAATGCTGTTATTAAAGAAATGCCGGTCCAAAATGACTAGAGACACTTATTTTTTTATTTTGATCGCAGGACATATTAGAAGGCAAAACTATTAAGACAGTAAAGATTAGGTCAGTGTTTGCCAGGGCTTGATAAAGGAGGAGGGATGAAAAAAGTAGAGCATGGGATTTTTAGGGCAGTGAGACAATTCTGTGTGATGTAATATCAAGGACACATCATTAAACATTCCTCCAAACCCGTACAGTGGCCGTACAACGAACCCCCTGGGTGATAATGCTAATGTATCACACAGTGTGTCTGTCAGAAGCTTAACTGGTAATGCTGATGGAGTGAGGGGCTACTCAATACAAGGGCGGGAGGGTCAGAGAAAACTATTGTGCATTCGATTTAATTTGTTTTTCTTGTTGAGACAGGATCTTGCTATGTAGCTATGGTTAGCCTGCTATGTGGCCCAGGATAGCCTTGAGCACCTAGATACCTGCTTCCCAAGTGCTAGGATTAAAGGTGTGCACCACCACATCCAGTTGCTTAATTTTGATATAATTCCTCAAATCTTATAAACATTTTAAAAGCTGTATGAACTAGAACAGAATAAGGCAGTCAGCCAGGCTTGCCCCAGCACAGAGCCCTCCCGGTGCTCTCTGAGCTGACTCCAAGGCTCTCAGCCTGGCTCCTAAGCACACAGCACCTAAGCCATCCTCACATTTCCAGGTCCACCCTTCCACACTTGGCCCCACTTACTTTCCCAGTAAAACACAATGGCTTAGAAAACACCTATGCCCTCTAATTTCCCTCTTGTGAGAAGGCCCTGCTACCTCATGTCCTTTATTTGGCTAACTTCTGTATTTCCTTCCCTAATTCCTCACTTACCCAAGTCACAGATAATGCTATATATTTGGGGGGTTGTTTTTGTTTTTAACCTGATTTTGATCTATGATCCTGTCAGACACAGTTCTAGGTCCCAAGGAACTTATCAATGAACGAAGCAGACAAAACTCCTGCCCTGGAGGAGTCCACACTCTAGAGGTGCTTTTCTCCTTGGGCTATGGGTTTGAAAGAGGGCAGAAAGGGCATGCCCTGCCTACGGTTACTGTCCATGGTGCCTAGCCCGTAGCAGATCCCAGCCCCTGCAGTGGATGGAGCTGATGGAGCTACCAGGCACCAAGGCCTTGGAGAATGTGCAGGCTAATACAATCCACATGATAAACACCATAATGGGCTCTAGCAAGGAGAAGGATATCTGGGCAGGCAGAGAGGCCTGGGAGTACAGGAATCCACACAAGAGTGAGCACAAAGGGACTGTCTTTGATAACTTCCTTCCTAATTACTCCTTGTTATCCTCCCTGAGGCAGATTAACATCCCCACACCTGTATATTACGGATACAGGACATTTAAGAAAGTGTAGTATGGCGTGGGTATCAGACTGGCCAGTGAGCAGGACAGTGCCTGAGAATCTATTTCTTACACGCTCTTTGGATCATTCTGATGTAGCCAACTACACACCAGGGGTCCAGACAGTCCTTATCCTTCAGGGTGTGCAATTATCTGTCCTTAGCCCACTGTAACTTCCTCTTCAATCTCATGTACTGCTACCACAGCATCCATTTCCTTCGGGGCTATGCTCAAACCCCACCTTCTTGATAAATATTTCCCAAACCATACTTCTGTCTTAAAGAAAAAGATTATATGTATATGCATGTGAGTGCAGGTGCCAGTGGAAGCCAGAGGTGTTAGAACCCTGTGGGACTGAAGCTACAGGTGGCTGTGAGCTGCTGGGAGATAGGTTCTGAGAATTGCCCGGGTCCTCTTTTAAGAGACGTGCTTTCAACTACTGAGCCATCTCTCCAGCCCTGTTTTGTCTTGTCTTGGAGATAGGTTTTCTCTCCAGGCTGGTCTTGAACTATCCTTCTGCCCCAGGCTCCAGCCTTGCATTGTCACACTTGTTAATACAGCATACCCCTTCCTTATCCTTCTTGTCCCCATCTCCGTTTACTTCGATCCAAGCGCTTAGCTCTATCTGTTCTAAGTGACATCTTAAATCTGCCTCAGAGGCTCAGGAAGTCTACCCCTTAATGCCGAGAAACTCTGCAAGCTGGTTCATAAGTGCAACCATCATCAAAAGTTAAATGACTAAACTTATAATTACATGAATGATACTGAACACACACGAAGGTAAAAATGCTCTCGCTTGTCACTTTCTAACCTTAAAAGCCATCATTTGTGTCTCCCTGAGCGCCTTTACCCTGCAGCCCTGCAGAGCGGTGCACATGGTGTATAAAGACTACTCCTGGGTGTTTTGTTCTCTACTCTGAGTCCAGTGAGCTGAAGTTAACTGCAGAAGGAGCACATCACAGGAGGGGAAGCATGACAAACTGAGTTTAACTGTGTCATTTTATTGATTTGTCCCCAGTTGCCATGGGCCATATTCAGCTCATTGACTGTATTTGTGAACAGTCTTCTTCAGTAAGGCCATGGTCGCTCACTTATATCCTATCAGTGGCTACAGAATTAAAGTAGGCAGTCACAACTATGGCTGAAAAGTCCCACAGTAGTGGCCCTTTACAGAAAAAAAAATGGCTGGTCACTGGTCTGGCCTTAAGAAACTATCTAAAAGGCCAGGTGTGGTGGCACACACCTTTAATCCCAGCACACAAGAGGAAGAAGCAGGCAGATCTCTGTGTGTTTGAGGCCAGCCTGGTTGAGGCCAGACCTACAAACACCTAGGTCTGTTACCCAGAGAAATCCTATCTTGAAAAACCAAAAAATAAATTAAAAATAAGAAGAAGAAGAAGAAGAAGAAGAAGAAGAGGAGGAGGAGGAGGAGGAGGAGGAGGAGGAGGAGGAGGAGGAGGAGGAAGAGGAGGAGAAGGAGGAAGAAGAGAAAAAGAAAGAAAGGAAGAAGAAAGAAAGAAAAAAAAGGAAAGCCCTGGAGCAAATATTAGTGATGCAGAGCCCATCATTAGAAGTTGAGAAAATTTCGGCACACTGCTTCACATTTTCATCTTCTTACCCTTCAGTTCGAGTGCAAACACCAACACAGATGTGGATACCACATCTGTTTAGACATAACCACATGCTAGCCATACATGGAAGACGTAGGCAAGATTCAAAGAAAGTATAACACAAATGTCAGCTAAACTGTGATTGACACATGCTTGCAATTCCAAGTGAGGAAACTAAGGCCGGAAGACAAGTTTGAGGCTAGCCAGGACAACACATCAAGACAATTATTTAAAAAACAAAATAGGACTTCCCCATGAACGAGGAATTCTCAGTAAGTGCGGGTCAAAAAAATAAATAAATAACATAAAAAAAAAAACCAGGGGACAGGGGCAATGGCTCAGTGGTTAAAAGCATGAACTGCTTTTACAAAGGATCCAAGTTTGGTTTCCAGCACCCAATCAGATCATAACTGCCTGTAACTCCAGCTCCAAGGGATCACACTGACTGGCACCTCCACCAACACACACACAAACACACAATGACTTTCAAACATGCAGCAGGTGCCCGGCAACACACGTGGCATGGCTAAGTGCAGGAGCAGCTTGAGAGAGTTCTCACGGACTGGCTTGTCAGGCCTACATCACAGTCCCAGCTCTACCGCCAAGCAGCCGTGTGAACTGAGTAAATTATGTAACAACTTATTTTTATTTACATTAGTGTTTTGCCTGTATGTATGTCTGTGTAAGGGTGTCAGATCTTGGAATTACAGACAGTTGTGAGCTTCCATGTGGGTGCTGGGAATTGAACCCAGGTCCTCTGGAAGAGCAATCAGTGCTCTTAACCACTGAACCATCCATCTGTCTAGCCCCACCTTTTAAAATCTTAGCTTCTTCTTCTAAAAGAAGGGGTCCACCATCTTACCTCACAGGGAGGTTGTGATCATGGACATGGGTGCCTGTCACCTACTGTTTCTCCAGATGGGAGTGGCCTTCTGACCCTCCAGAGACACAGCCTTGACGCTGTCACACATTTTAGTGATGTCACAGCTCACTGCCTGGCAGGTCTAGCGCCATCATATATTGCTCAGCTCAAGTGCTGGCTGAAGTGAGAGGGGCAGGGTGCAGGCAGTGTGGGGTCCAGTCTTGCTCCTACAGCCCCAGCATGAATCCATCTACAAAGAAGAGGCCCAAGAATGGAGTGGTTTCCAAGGTCAGACTTTGTCTCAAAGCCCAGGCAAGTGAGAGATCTTATCAATGATCCAGCCTTTTAGAGAAGGGAAAGGGGAAGGGTGAAAGGAGGCCGGCAGAGTTAAAATGGTCTCAGGGTACAGTTAAAATGGTCTCAGGGTACAGTTAAAATGGTCTCAGTTTTGTTCTAAAGCCAAACTGGCAAGACTCCCAGTCTAGGGTTGGTCAAAGCATGCTCAGTCAAATGGAGACACAGTGCAGCATGCAAGGGGTTTCCTTCTATGCCAGCTCTCCCTCTCTTCCTGTCTCTCAGATGCAAGATGAGAAACTGCAGGACAAGAAAAATCAGCCTGTCAGCAAACTAATTGAGCGGAACCGACTTAAAATGGTGAGATGTTCCATTTTAGCCCCTGCTTAGGGGAACCAAACCCCCACTGAAGTGCTACCCCACGTCCCGACCCAGTGACCCCGGGGAGCCAGCAGACTTAGCCCTGAGCTGAGCCAAGCCATAGAAAGGGCATGGAAGGCGACCCTGGAGAGCGGCAGCCTCTAATTTTCTGGTTTATTGACCCTGGCAGGTATTAAAAAACTTGTCCCTCTTGAAGTTACTCAAGAGTTCAAATGACCGGATCCGAGAACTGCATAGCCTGGCCAGAAGGTGTTGGAATTTAATAATCAGAGTTCCAAAGATCCTCCAAATCTCCTCTGGGTGAGCTCCCTCCACACCCCCTCCTCACACACATACAAAATACCCAGCAACTATCTTTCCTAGGAAGAGGCACTGTGGTGAGGGATTGGGGAGCAGTGGCCTGCTTTACACAAGGGCTCTGTGCAACAGATATTTATGCAAGGTGTTTTACTGGCAGGGACTGAGACTCCAGCGATGAAGGGATTTATCTCAGCCAACTGAACTGACAATTGGCAGAGTACCTGTTTGAAGTCATTCCCACCCGAAATCAAAGCTGTGGCTCTAACAGTGATCACAGTCATCTAGTGAAGGGCCCACCTATAACTGTGGTACTGAGTGTGCATGTGGGGAGCTTTCTCTTCCTCCTGGGCCTGCAGCCCAACCCAGAGACAGTCTCACAGACTGCCCTCTGAATCTGAAGATACATTATCTTGCTCAGAATCTGATTACTCATGGGCCACTCTAGAATTTGGGGAGCATTTATATAAGTGCCAGCCACTCTGCTTACATGTTACACACGTGCCCCCCCCCCACCCTTAGATGTTTCTTCCCGACAACCTAGGTACATGAGATTATCCATCTTATGATGGAGACCCTGGCTGGGCTCTGGGAGGTGAAATGTCTTATTCCATCTAGATACTGTCTCCAAAGACTGCTCTCCAGACCAGCTGCTTCCTTGCCTCCTACACACCTGGCAGATCTTGACAACAGGCCCCTAGTGGCCATCACTGTCATCAGCCAGGGTGAGCAGGCACGGGACTTTGCCTGGCTCAATCTGATACTCAGACTCCCGAAAACTTCCTCAGGCATCTCTCTCTGATGTGGCCCCTGAACAACCGAGAAGCCCAGAACCAAGCTCAGGGACACAGACCACCATAGTTCTTGAAGCACAGAAATATCTCTTAAAAACATTTGTCTCTAAATCTCAATGTGAGAGGTACCTTGCCCTCATCCTGACTTCTACCTAGCCCAAGCGAGGGTACGGAGAAGCTTCTTCAGAGACCCATGGTTTCTTAGAATATAACTGGAAAGGAACACTGGGCAGTCTTCCCTCTTGGCTGAGACAGAAGCCTAGTGTAGCGGCAGGTGCCAACAAAATATATACCCTTGGGCTCCTCAAATACTGGTCATGCCTTCTGCCTTGCCAAGGTCTCACATCCTTTCTACTAAAACTAATAGTACCTCCAGGCACTAGAGACGCTTCTTTCAGTCTAGCTCTAGCAGGCTCCCTGAAGCAGCACCACAGCGACTGCTCAGGACTGGGTTAGAAGGACCCTTGCTCCGCTGACCTTTCCTTTCCCTGTCAGGGACAACGTAAAAGTGACACAAAAGAATAAAGAGCTGCAAGACGTTCTGGCCCTGGTGAAGAAATCAGAATCCAGGAAAGCAGAGTCCATAGAGAAACCTAATGAAAACACGTCAGAGGGGTCACCTGCAGCAGCGTCACGGAGAAAAAAGCAGGCAAAGTCTAAAGTCCCCAAGATAGCAAAGAATCATGGCTTGCTTACCAGAGACCAGAAGAGGAAACCACATGTTAAGGAGCCCCGAATTGTCTTCCTGAAGATCTACAATCACAGAACTCCCAAGATGAACATGAAACCACTGGATGAAACTGACCAGTTGGTCTGGTTTGAGGGGCTTCCCACACGCATCCACCCCCCAGGGCGCCGGATCATGTGCAGATCATCTGCCTTACGCCGCGTCAAGCGCCCCTGTACCCGGTTCTGCTCGGTGTCACTTTGAGCTGCCTGTGTAGCATCCATATGAGGTGGGTATGACGACACCACTGCCAGGCCAAGGCAAGATGCAGCCCCTCATGCAGGCCCACACCTGAGCCCTAGACTCAGGGGTTTGGGTCTTGCTGACTGTGGGTGGCTGGACTGGGAGGCCCCATACCCAGAGAGAGGAAGCCATTGACCAGACCACACGGCAGGGTAATAGCTGGGCTGAGGATGCAGCTCAGTTGACTGGGCTCTAGGGAAGGTGCAATGGAAATGTGGGACCCAGTGTATCATCTAGTTGTCTGGAGACCCCAGGAGAGTGGGAACCACCGCTGTGGCCCTGAATCCCAAAGGATGTTTAAGCTAGGGAGGAGGGAAGTAGCCACACTGGGCTTTGCTGCATCTCCTCCCCTTAGGCTAAATCAACTCTATTTTATTTAGTCATGTTTTAAGTAAGACTTATGCTAAAAAGAAAAAGTTCTTAAAGACAAGAAACTCTTCCCATCATGGCTTGAGGTGCTCATGAAGGGAAGAGGGCGACTGACTCCTGAGGTCCACCTTAAAGGGTTTCCTTTAAGTTGGAGATAGCCCCAACTTGCCACAAAAACCAAGGGTCCCAGGCCCTGTGCCCACTCACTGGACAACAGCGCCCCCTGGGGGTGATTTCTATGACTAACATGGAGCTCTCTGCTGGCAGGTGGTGTAACCCTGGATGGGAACTTGAAGCTTAAGAAGTAGAGATCCTGCAATCAGCTAAAGGGAGGGAAGAGCGGGAATTTCCTGAGTTTACAATAAAATCGCTCATATGCCACTGAACAGTATCACCACTGGCTCCGCCTGTCTGGTGCTGGCAATCACATACACATGGAGGGCAAGGATCCTGGGGGAGGTGCAGGGGGGAGGGGGGAGGGAGTGTGTCGTGGGTCCATCCCTACGCTCCTAAAGTCATTTCCTAAAACCACAGCAGAAAATATACCAAGTTATAATCCTTCAACATCCCCCACAGGCTGGCTCCTTTGGGCAGTGCACACTTCCTCTATGAAGTCATTTGTCTCCTGGGTGCAGGTGCCTCACAATGGTCCTGTGAGCCAAGGAGAGGCAGAAACTTGTACACCTATATAGCAAATGGCTTACTCAGAGAGGAGGCGCTGGAGCAAAATCTACCCCCTGCCCCGTCTCCTGGCTTCTCCATCCCACTTTCCCAAGAGAGGGAAAAGTCACACGCAGAGCCTGCCTTGGCCAAGGGAGTCATCCCAGAATCCAGCTCCCCACTGACTATCAATGCATGTGGTGTCAATAACTGGGCCTCCTGGATCTCAGATCATAGGAAACACCAGGGTAGGTGGGGAGTTGGCACTGTGTCCTACAGTTCAGGTGTAATAGCACAGTTACCCTGAAGCCCGATCCCTGGCTGACTTTATCGGTCAGGAGCACTATTGTCAGTAGGAACTATAGGGCCTTGCACACACGGTTGAGGGGATGGGGCAGGGGAACCCAGGTTTTCTTTGGACAAAGACTAGAACCTTCTAATAGCCTCCTGAGGCTAGCAGCAATCAATGGGTGTGCCTGCAGGTGAGGTACCCGGCCTTTGAGCCACTGAAGGGCAGGGTCGCAGAGCCCTTCTGGAGAGGCAGGGCAGTGATGACAAGATCTCATTTGGGAGGGAGATTGATGCGAGGACCGGTGTCTTAACCTTCCTCTCGCACTGCCCCTGCCTACTATGCCTGGCACTGCCGTCTACATTGGAGGGGCAGCCTCACATGGGCCAGTCAGAGCCAAACCTGGCACCAAGGCTGTCCCACTATCCTGCTTCTGCTCATGCTTCTTCCTATGGGAGCAGCCCAGTGCTATCTGAGCACTCTGTGGCCCTTCTGTACATCACTGCTCCTGCCATTTCCCAGCAACCTCTTCCCCAGTCACTCCTTCCAGCTGTTTCCTGCTCAGTGGTCTCCATCTTGAGTCCCTTCAACCTTGGTAAACTTTTCCTCAATTTCTTTCCAACCTCCTGCTTATCAACTGGTATGGTGAACTTGTGACCTCAGATGTGTATCCCTCAGTGGGTGGCCAGGGCAGCAAGCTCTGTCTTCATGGCAGCCTGTTCAGAGAGGGATTCAAGTACAGGCCCCACTGGAGAAGGCCTGCTCAGGGCTGGCAATTTCCCCTGCGTGCCCCAAGAGAAGATGGCAGCTTAGCCGTGTGGGCAGAGCCTGAGGTCTAGCATGGCCTGTGGAAGGAAGGCCCAGTATCTTCTCCAACAGGACTTCTTCCAGCCTCCCCATGCCCTTGACATGACCGCCATCAGCTTACATCCCACTGCCCACTTTCCTGTATGTAAGGAAGTCCACTTAAGTCTGACGTTCTTCTGGGTTTGGTAAACCCATTATTTGAGGAAAGCGTATCCCAGAAATGGCTTCCTAAGAGTAAACTGGAGGGGTGTGCATGTGTGTATATATGTGTGATCAAACTGAACTCAAGCATCGACTCAACAATTTAAGTCATAGGACTTCTGAATTTGGCTTCTTCTATTTTTGGGGTGCATGCGTGCACATGTGCACAGGGTATCAAATCCACAGTACCGCACACGTTAGCCAAACACTCTATCATTACAAAGAGCCAGATACACTTTTTTTGAGATAGAATTTCATTGCATAGCATCAGCTGGTGTTAAACTTGCTATGTAGACCAGGCTGGCCTCAAACTCAGATGTGCCTGCCTCTGCCTCCAGAATGCTGGGATTAAAGGTGTGTGCCACAGCTCACTATTTCAATTGTTTTTTTTTTTTTTTAAAGGGACATAAGCTGGGAGTAGTGGCACAGCTTTAATTCCCAGCATTTGGAAACAGAAGAAAGATGGATCTCTGTGAGCTCAAGGACATCTTGGTCTATATAGCAATTATCAGGGCTACATAGTGAAACAGTGTCTCAAAAAAAGGGGGACACTAACACACATTTCAGAGAGTCTGAAGTGATGAGGCTTATGCAGGGAAGCCAGTTTGTGGGGTGCTGAAGAACTTCAGCCTTTCCCTAGACTTCCCCAGTTCTGTGCCAGACTTGCTCAGTCTTGGCTCTGCCTCTCCCTGGTGAGCTCCTACTTAAGAGCCTGCAAAGGACCTAGCTGTCAGTTTCCCAAGATGTCCCAATTATCTGGCTCAAGTTCACTCAAACATGCAGGACGTGAAAAGACGAGGCTTTTGAGCAGCTGTGTGATGTTGGGGTGAACTGTTACCTCCCACGTCTAGTGGTCCCGATGCAGGGATTGAGAGAGAACTTACAATCAGCGCCCTGCAGGTTCGGCCAACAGGAGAAAGCAGGCTGTGGTCCCCTCCACTGTAAAGCGGTGAAGGGGGAGGGAGGCTGGGAACTCAGAATCATGGGTTACTTCCTACCTGCCAGACACTGTGCAATTCTCACAATAATCAAAGAAATGAGTACACTCTGCCCTCCACAGTCCTGCATGCATGGGTTCTATACCATGCCATTCACAGCCAGCTGTAAATGGAAAATACTCAATAAAGATGTCCATCCATACTGAGCATGTACACTTTCCCTGTTCCCTGAACAATACTGTATAGCCCTCACCACCATCCTGATATTGTACCATCTGAAGTATGAAGAACATGTATATAGTTACACGGAAACACTACACCATTATCTTTTGCAGGGATGGGGGTTGGAGAGTGAGACCCAACACACCCTAGCCAACAGCCACCAACTCGGCAATTCTTCTTGACCCACTGCAGTTTCCTGCCACCCTGCCACCATTCCTACAGACTCGAGGACGGAAGGCCAGGACGACTCAGCTTCTATTCCCTTCCCTGCCTCAATACTCTTTTCAGTAGCTTTATCACCTTCCTCCAAGATGTGCCTGCCCTCTGGTCAGAAGGAAGTCACCCTGAAGCCACAGAGAGTCCAAGAAACTCAGCTTCCAGAAAACTTACTGAGCTATGAACCCTTCAGGACTTGAGGACCTAGAACCTTCCTCAAAACCCCTCCCTCCAAGATCTCTGTCAGTGCATTCTGGCTTCCACATAGTTGTTCTAGTCAGGGCTGCTTAGACAGGAAGCATTAGAGGTGCCTCTGAGCCACACTTCCTTATCTTTTGGGGCTATAAACTGTTTTAAGTGGCAATTACACAGTTCTCCACATTTCTCTCCAAATGGTCTGAATTCAGATGTTAGGCAGAGTGAGGGAAGAGGCAGGGTCAAGACTTGAGCTCTCCAGAAAGGCATATTCTTTCACCAGGAAGCTGGACGCAGGTTTCTCCTCTAGACTGTAGTCTTCCGGAGTTAAACACCCAGCCTGCGTTCCTGCGTCACTTGCTAATCCTTGCTCCTAATTTGTATGTTACCTAGGCACTGTTCTTGAATAGCTAGTGACGTATTTAAAGTTCTGTTCAAGCACTGGGATTTGAAGGTCTAAGGTCATAGTCTGCTGAACCCATCAGAGCTTATACACCCCAGTTATTCACCTTTGCCGCACAAGCATATCATTGCCACTTCCAGAGCCCAGATTCTGAGGTTGACAACCACAGGCAAGTTCCATAGTTTCATCATCTGTAAGGTGTGGATGATGGAGCTAGGCGGGGTGGAGAACACCCTGGCCACTGTGGAAAAGAGGCAGGTGCATCTCTAGGAGCTCGAGGCCATCATGGTCTATAGAGTGAGTTTCAGGTCAGCCAGGGCTACACAGGGCCCCGACTCAAAACAAAACCACCAAACAAACAATAAACAACCAAACAAAAAACAGAAGATACGGATGATGGGACTTCCTACTGAGATTGCCACATGAGAAAAAACAAGTCCCTGGCCTTCTGCTAGATAGACACCCGTTAAGCACTCAATAGAATAGATGCATTTGTTATGAAAATGACAAAATGTCACTGCCACTGCAGACTGTAACTCACTTCTAGAAACCATTCACATTGCTGCTTTAGAAACTGTACGCATCTGAAGACCATAAACTGTGTGTGTGCTAGCTGAATGTGTGTGTGTGTGTGCATGTGCGGAGCCCAGAGCAGGACATCAAGATGTTATTTTCTAACACACTCTGCCTAGTATCTTGAGACAGGTATCTCACTGACTTGGAAACCTGTTATTTCAGCTAAGCAAGACGGCCAGCAAGCTATGGGGATATACCTGTCTCCAATCCCTCAGTTTCTGTCTCCACGCCTTCTGGGGAAGTTCATGCAATTTTTAGTCAACTCAGCTCAGTCATTATATTACTGGGGTTAAAAAAACAAACAAGTCACCTTGGTTTCTTCTGGTGCTTTTTCAATTTCCAAAAATCAAATGGGCATCAAAAGACAGGTTTCTCATCAAAGGAGTTACGCAGGCAAAGCTGGCACAAGCAACTGAAAGAGAACACCAGCACTGTTCTTGCCTGGAGCAGCAGACTCCTCAGCTCCAGGGAGACCACAGCCATGCTGAACGTTCTAGCCCTTCGTTGTGGTCACATGCCTGAGGAGTGTGTCGGAGGAAATCCACCAATGCAGCTGGGTTGAGGCCCTGCAGCCAGCGTAGCCACAACCCCGAGTGACCAAGGGCCTCACGCTAGCTCACTCACAGCTTTTGCCCGGGTGCTTTCATTCTCAGATTTTTCATTCTGCCAGTTGCGACTCCCTACTCTACAAGGCTGAGAGCCAAGAGGCAAGAAAGGCTCCCTAGGGAGGAAACAAAACTCATCTTTAGTTGTGAGACTCAGCTCTCTTGGGCAAGCTCCAGAAACCAAAGAAACACAGCCTGTTTCATACAAGTGCATGCCGTGGACGTGCTCAGGGACCACACGTGCGGCATCGCAGGGGCAGATGCAGGCCGAGTGCAGGATACACTATTTTGCTCTTGTTTTGTGAGACAGGGATTCACTATAACATCTGCGTTGATCATGCAGACCAGGTTAGCCTCAAACTCATGATCCTCCTACCTCAGTCTCCTGAGTATTAGGGTAACCAAGTGCTACCATACTTATCCTGGCAGTCAGTACTTCATCTGATTGGAGAAATCACTCTGGGAAAGGAGGAAATACTAATTCTTATGACTCCTGTGCACAGCTGCTTTCTCTTGCCCTAAAAGTGACATCATAAAGTAAGTCCAGGCAAAAGTGTGGAAAATACTGTATTTATGTACCTAGAAAGGACAGCTGCCAGCACCTCACAGAGGAAACGCTAGGAGCAAACTCTAGCCTTCACAGCAAATTCCTGTCTCCTCCAGTACCGTCAGTGGAGCTTGCCATGGGGAAGCTGCGCACCCATCATACCCTCCCCCACCACAGAGTTCAAACAAAAGAGGAAAAAGAAACTCTTGCCACAACTAAGGTCCAGTGGGAGCTGGGGCCTGGTCATTCCTAGAGAGCAGACCGTGGCTTTTATTACGAAGCTAAGGCTGCGGGAAGGGGGTGCTGGGATTCTTCTCTGGATCCTGCAGCCTGCTGTGTTGAGAGCTGGCAGCAGGGTAGAGTCCATATAGAGGTTCTCGGACACACAAACACACTTTTGTATGTGTCTAATGGGGCACAGGCTGTGCACTGCTCTTGTGCTTGAGGCCTCATCCTTCGTCCTCTGACAGCGGCCTAGTACTTTGCACCTACACCTCTTTTGTGGCTACGAACCCAGAAGTCAAATGTTTCTCCACACAGAACCACTGTGGTTTGGCAACGGGGCAAAGGTACCAGCTGTCCCAAAGGGCAAGACAGGCAACCAGAAGAGTGTTTGCGCCAATCAGATATCCTTGATTTTTTTTTTCCTTTTTAAAAATAACAGGCTGGTGACGGTATGATGGCTCAAGAGTTGACATGGTTCCAAATCTGTTACCACCCTCTATGAGGTCCCCGTCCTGGCTTCCAGATATCAAAGCTCCAGCAGGCAGAGGCCATTCTTGCAGCTGCGATCATGACTGCTACCTGCCTTTGTGACAGGACCTCACTATCTCTCCACCAACAGACTTCACATTTCCAGGGTTCCTCTCCGACTCGGGCTGGACCCCATCTGGAGGTCTGAGCAGCCCAAGGTGACAGGGGGCCCAAATGCCAGCAGAATATCCGAAGGGCTCAACTCTAGACATTGGATTTAGGGGCTGAGCTGAGGGGGATCTCCTTGAGTTCCGTCCGCATGCACAGGTATTCCCCGATGACTGCCATGAGTGCAATGCACACAGCCTGGACCAGCCACCAGGTCAGCGCCGAGGGGAAGCGGGAGCTGTAGAGCCAACAGCCCAGGAGGTGAAAGAAATGGACAGTCACAGTGAAATCCAGACACTGCTTCCCTCGCCGGATGAAGTACAGCAAGCCCAGGGCACTGTGGGGAAAGGACATCAGCGCGTTGTCACTGGGTTGTCCTGGCCTTACATTAAGTCCTTGGGGAGATGGGGGACAATTAGGATGACAGCACAGTGGTCAGAAGCGAGCAAAGTAAGTGAGAAGCAAGGGCTGTTATCTCAGATGCTGAGAGACCTGCTGGGTGACATCAAGACTGGGTCTGAGAGAACGGGGGAAGATGAGTTTGATGACAAACACCCACCAGGAATGGTACACACCAGGACTGGTGTATACCAAAAAGTACACATGCTCTATGCAAAATGCAGACAGAAACTACTTGCACCTAGGCAAATCTTGGCACTTGGAATCAATCCACTTTCCCACTATTCAAGAGAAGCCAGAAAACTAGACATTCCCCACCTTCAGCGTAAAGTCATAATATAATGTACATGAGATTGTTTAAAGTACTACCCATGAATAAACCGTACAACTAGGAGCTAAGTGATCAGATTAGTCCCACTTTACTGAAGAGGAAAAGTGATAAAGCTGTCCAAATTCGCTACACTAGTGGTAAGGTGGTGGATGGCTGAAGGCCAGGTGAGTCTGCTTCAAGTCTAAGACCTTGGTCCCTATGCTAAACTGGTCCTCAAAAAAAGGGCAGTGGCCGGGCGGTGGTGGCACACGCCTTTAATCCCAGCACTTGGAGGCAGAGGCAGGCGGGATCTCTATGAGTTTGAGGCCAGCCTGGTCTACAAGAGCTAGTTCCAGGATAGGAACCAAAAGCTACGGAGAAACCCTGTCTCAAAAATCAAAAAAAAAAAAAAAAAAGGGCAGTGGTCATGAGTGACCTTAAATGTTACCTAGTCCAACCCCTGGACTATATACAAGGAGCCCGGGTCCCAGAGAGGAGTAAAGTAACTGGGTCAATGGCACAGAGCAAGAATGGAAGCCAATTCTCCTGGTTCCTGGTCTAATTCTTTCTTCAGCTCACGCCATATCTGGGTACACAATCAGGCAGCACACACACAGTGACCGAAGAACTTTGAACTTAATTCAAAGCAACAATGGAGACCCACGACAGGGCCAGTCCATAGAAATATGCTCTTCCACCCATCTTACCATTCCCAAGAAGTGCCAGCCTGCCTCTTGTTTACATTTAGGAAGTTAGTTCCAGTTAGACACAAAAGAAGTACAGTAGAGCTGGTGATACTCACCAGGTAAGGGCGTTGAGGACGAAGGACATCATTGAGAGCCGGCCTGGAGGGGTGGAAAAGCCCAGGATCTGAGGGGGAATCACAAAGGGAGATATGCTAGAGAAGCGACTTGGCGGAGCCCCAGAATCCTAGCAAACAGCCTATGGCACAAGCACTCGTCCCAGAGTACAGAAGACAACACCTTCATCCACACAGAAGCCTATTTCCCACATGGTTCTTTTGCACACACCCACTGTGGAATCTCATTTGAGCCTCATGGTATGAGGGAAGGATACCATTTTCCTTTTACAAAAGAAAACACAGGGTTTAGAGAAGTTGCCTGAGGTGATGCAGTGACTAAGAAGCAAGAGTCAAAAAGGATGTCCAGCAAACTAATGCTCCGCAGGCCAGGCTTTGTTTTTGCAAACAAAGATTTATTGAAACATCGTTCACAATTTTCTGGCTTACTTATGATTGCTTTTGTACTATAAAGGTAGAGTTGAATGGCATGACCAAAAAACCTTTACTACCTCATCCTTCCAATAACTGTTTGCTGAACCTTGAGTTGGAACCCAGGCTGTGTGCATCAGGCCCCTCTGCAACAAAACTGGATTCTCCTATGCCCTTGCAAGAAGGATGGCGCCTCCCACAAAGTGTTCAGCACCTAGAATGTGTGCAGTGTTTATTGCTGACAGAGTACTAGTAAGCACTAAATATCTGAACATAATTCAGCTTGCAAAGGCCTTTGACATCCATGATCTCACAATGCCACTACTGTCTCTTCTCAAATAATTAGTTATCTAAAGGCAGAGGGCGAGTAGCAAGCACGAGGACCCCATGCCAGGTCTCCTGAACCAAGAGCTCTAGCTCTTCACTATCACAGGCCCCCTTCTCCCACCAACCTCCTCGGCGCTCACTATCCCTTACAAAGCATTTCCCTCTTTTGTTGGTATCTTGTTTTGTTTTGTTTTGTTTTGGGGGAGACAGGTTTCTCTGTGTATCCTGGCTGTCCGGGAACTCACGCTGTAGACCAGGCTGGCCTCGAACTCAGATCCACCTGCCTCTGCCTCCCGTGAGCTGGTATTAAAGGCGTGCAACACACACACACACACACACACACACACACACACACACACACACACACACGCATTTTCTTATTCCCAGGCCCCTCTGGGACTTTTACCATTTTACTGTGGGTGACATGACAGGGTTATTCTGTCACTTTCCAGAGGAGGAAAGGGCTTGGAAAGGTAAAACAACTTGTCAAGTTCCTCCAGCTCGATTGGATTCTAAACATGGGCAAGCTTTTTGTACTACAGTTTACCACCTAATGCCAACAGCATGATTTTGTAGATACGAGAGGTGACATCTGCCACAAGTCACACAGCAAGCAGAGTGAAATTTAAATAAGATGCTCTTAGGACACCTAATAGTTCCCACCGCACCACACCGGGTGCCCTTTTATCTGCTCCTCTTCCTACTGTGGTCCCTGGAAATCTGAGCTGAGAGAAGTGTAGTCTTTTTTCCGGAGGGTCTCAGCAAAGAGACTTTCCATGTTTGCCTGGGACATAAGCCTGTTGACTGTAGTATCTGCCTCAGCCATGTGTGTTCAACCTCGGCTATAAGCGCAGCCCAACACAAAACTGTAAAGTTATTTAAAACTCTATGAGATTCCCCCCCCCCCTTTTTTTGTTTTGTTTTGTTTTGTCTTAACTCGAATGCGCAGTTCCTGAGCGTGGGTACGTCGTTTCCCAACATCACAAGACTGGACACGCCTGAGAGTGAACTCATCAGCCTCCCTGCCCTCAGTCATTCCACTTCACAGATGGGGGTGGGGGCCTGGAATCCCTTCTTTCTTAGGTCCCCAAAATGAGAACGTGGCCTACCTGGATCTAGCGCTCGGCGGTGCCGGACCACAAAAACCCACTCCTACTCCATCCCTCCAAGCCTACCTCCGCGTCGAACATCTGGTCCAGCGAAGGGCTGCTGCGCACCAGCGCGTCCACCAGCGCCAGCCACAGGCCCAGCGAGCCATAGTACACCGTCTGCATGAGCACGATCTGCGACAGGATCAGCAATGGATCCCACACGTAGCTGCGAAACTGGCCCGCCATGCCGGCCCCCGGGGCTCGGCAGCCACTCGCGCCGTTCAGCGCAGCCACGCCATCGGCCCGCGGCCGCCGGGCTACCTGCGGGGAGACACCCGGAGCTTCAGCCGGCCGGCCGTCGCCTTGGCAACGCCGCGGGAGGGAGAGCCTGGGACCTAGGAGCCATACCATTCCGGGAGGTGGGGGAGGCGGGGCGGGCGGACCCACTCACGGCGTCAGGGGAAACCCTGCCGGTTCCGTCCGCCTGGCTCCTCCCGGGTTCACTCACCCGCGACCGGCTCGAGGGTTTGAAGCGTCCGAGCGCGGTCCGGCTTCACCCGTGGATTCCCGACACTGCGCTGACAGACAGGATCATGGAGCGGAGGACCTGCCGGCCTAGAGAGGCCGAAGAGCGGCGGCCTGCGGCTGCGTGGGAAGAATGCATTTCCGGGGACGGCGGCCGACGGGCCGTTCTGAGAGCGGCCAGGAAGTCAACTGTGCACATGCGCAGGAGGAAGGATGAAGGCAAACGGAAGCGAGGCACAAAGCCGTGAATCTTGCGCGCCCTCTAGAGGGAAATTAAAAAAAAACAGCAGGTCCATTCCTATGAGGGAAAGGGGTGGAAAGTCTAGGAATAAATAAAAGAAAAAAACATTCACCATTTGAAGCATGGCGAGATGGCTTAGCGTGTTAAAGGCTTGCCAGACCTGTGTTTAATCCCTGGAACCCACAATTTGGAAGAAGAGAACTGATTCCCTCCTGCAAGCTGTCATCTGACTGCTGTGCTCACACAACAAATTAAATTTAACCAAAACGAACTTTTTTTCGAAACAGTCTCACTATGTGGCCCTGGCTGGTCTGAAACTTGCTATATTCCAGGCCCATATTGGAACACACACACACACACACACACTTTTTCAAGGGAAAAAAATGGGTTAAACATTGACCAGCTTCATGGTTAGATTCTCAGTGTTTTCTCTCCTTAGTTAATCCAGAACTTTCAGGCTTTTCTACATATCTTCTTTTGGTCACTTTCTCATTATCATGATGTTTAAAGGTCAGAGAAGGGGGCAATATACTGTCTTAAAGACATAAAGTTAGTGAGAAAACAGGCTTTTTGTTCATTTCAAGACAGGTTTTCTCTGTGTAACCACCCTGTCTGACCTGGAACTTGCTTTGTAGACCAGGCTGGCCCTGAACTCACAGAAATCTGCCTGCCTCTGCTTCCTGAGTTCTGGGATTAAAGGTGTGTCCCCATATACCCGGCAAACTAGGCATTGCAATCCAGGTGAGGCTCGGAAGATTTGGACACATGAGACATTACCCTGCACTTTGGACACGGTTACAATAAATGGCCAAGTAGTGGGTGCTAAGGTGGCCATCCAACAGAGAGAAAAAGGCAGCTCCTGAAGTCACAGCTGGCATCAAACCTGACCTTGCCTACCTCCATGTTCACTTTTATCTCCGCCTTCCCTGAGACGGAATAGTGGACAGTCAGTAAATATTTGCTGAATGAATCAAGAGCAGAGAAAGGGCAAAGGCAAACCCATGACTCATTTGATTTCTCTTCCCAAAGACCCAAGTTCCCCAACTTCACAGAAGAGCACAAAGGAAGGAAGTAGGAGGTCCTAGGAAGAGTGTGGGCTTTCCGCCGGCTCTGTCACTTGCTAGCAATGTGACCACTGAGCCACTCCCGTCTTTAAACCTCAGCTTCCCCGTCTATGAAATGAGGAGCTGGACTACATGAATGTTTTCCAACGTCTACTTCACACTGCATGAATTATGTTCCCATTTAAACGCTTTACAAAAACCCCACATAATCTGCCAGTCCGAAGAGCAAGTGATAGTCATGTGACCACTTGGAACTGCTAGAACCCCAGACAAAAGTAAAAAACAAACAAACAAAAAAAAAAAAAACGAGGCTTTGGCCAGGGTATGTGACTTCTCTTGTCATTTGGAAACTGTAAATAATTCACTTGGAGTCTAGCCCAAAGATTGCTGAGGTACTTCTCAACTCAACCATCTTTTAGGTACCTCAGAACAGCTCAGCACGTTTCAGACTCTTCTAGTCCTCTGATTCACAGGATACAGTGTCTGTGAGACTGTCAAGTACACGTGAGCGATATAATTCTCAAAACCCAAGACAGTTGTTTGTAAAGAAACTGAGGTTGAGAAGGGCATGGTGGTGCAAGCACTTTTAATTCCAGCACTTGGGAAACAGAGGCAGACAGATCTTTGAGTTCGAGGCCAGCCTGGTTTACTGAGCGAGTTCCAGGGCTACTCAGAGAGACCCTGTCTTGAGAAACAAAATGAACAGAGAGAGAGAGAGAGAGAGAGAGAGAGAGAGAGAGAGAGAGAGAGAGAGAGAGAGAGGCGCCAAGGATGGACTCAGACGAAGGGTCTCTGGCTGCAAACACCAACTTCCTTTCCAATGGCAGGAGAAGGGAGGAGAGAGCATGGCGCTGCAGGGAAAGGGCCAGTAAATTCCTCCACTCAGCCTTGCAGCGAGGGGATGAGGGAGAGGAGCACGTGGAGGTCTAGAGAAGGCACAGAGTGGAGAAGTTTGTCCTGGTTTCCCACAGGCAGGTCTCTTTATACCCGATTCACCCTCTTCACGTCACAGCTGGGTTCAGTCCACCCCATCTCGTCCCCCACAGCAGAAGTGCTCCCTGTCGTCCTGAGACAGGACTCACAAGTAGCTTTAGAACTGTGTGGACAGATAGCGTCTGATGTCATTCTTGGATCTTAGAGCTTGCCTCTGGGAAAGCCCCAGTGACTGGCCACGTCCTTTCCTGCTCTGCTGTTTCCTTTTCCCTTCGAAGGCTCAGCTTTTGGGTTCTTACCTTGCTGAGTCCGGGAAATGGCCACCATCTACGTCTTAACCCGACTCCAACAAGGAAGCCAAGAGCTCAAGGAACCCTGACAGTTCTCTTCACCAGTCCCTTAGCCTATTTCTGGAATTAGATCTCACAGACTTGTTGTATGACCTTGGGCAAGTCCCTTGGCGGGCCCTAATATCCGGGACTATAAAGGAAAAGCCAGGAATTGGATTCCAACTTCCAAATGCAATAATACCCTGTGATGTCAGAACCCCTCGAGAAACAAGGCACATTTGGATTCCTCTATGAAAGCAGAGCATAGAGATCAGTCTCGTGGGACTGATGAGCTAGCTCGGCAGGCAAAGGCACCTGCTGTCAAGCCTAAAGATCGGAGTTCAGTTCCTGGGACCTGCACAGTGAGAGGAGGAAATTGACTCCTTCAGCTTGGAACTGACCTCCAAAAGCATGTGGGGTGTGTGTGTGTGTGTGTGTGTGTGTGTGTGTGTGTGTGTGTGTGTATGTCCAGTGCTAAAGATCAAACCCAGGGCCTCACATGTTATACAAACACTGTGCTATTGAATGACCCTTCCAGTTAAAAATCTGTACATTTAAAGCTAATCCCAAGGTAGGTATGGTGACACATGCGTATAATCCTTATACTCTCAAGTCTAGAGGCTGAGATAGGATCATGAACTCCCGAAACTTTGGATACGTAGAGATATCTGACAATAATACTACTACATTTAAAGAGTGACTCAGAGTTACATATTTAGCAACCACAAAAGATTGCCTGTAGGTGACCCCAAACCAACTCCTCCATCCAACAGACTGCTTCTCTGTGACCTTGATGTGTCCCTGGCTCTCCCTGGGTTTTAGGGTTTTTTTCCATTCGTAATACGAGGGGGTTGGACTAGAATAGCTGGTCCCCAAGGGCCTTCCCTGCGCTGCCAAGTCTGTGGTTACAAACTTATGAATGAAATCCAAACTTTGGGTCAGAAGCAGAGGTGGCGAATAGCTACAAGCTAGGACAAACTGTCCTCTGAGTGTCTAATCATTTGGTCACTGAGGCCTAACTACAAGCATTTAAGGGCAATTAGTACTAGGGTCAGCTCCTGATCTACCCTGGTAAGTCACTCAGGTGACGTGGGATTGTTCAAATCCTGGCTCTACCACAGCCTTGTTGGGGAACTTATTTCGCTCCCTCCACCCCCTTCTCATTGGTCTTCTCTTCCATAACAAGGACCACAGTAGCACCCTTATAGTTGACTGTACTGAGGATCAAATGTGTGCTTAGCCTGATAAGCAGTCAGTGTTGTGTAAGTGTTGGCAGTATTAATTACTGCTGTTATTTCTTCCTTTGGAATGTGGGAGTGGAAATACCTAAGCTTTCAGGGCTGAGACAAGGATCTTACTGTAATAAGTACCAGAATGAACCCAGAGCCTAGGACATAGTAGGAGTTCAATAAACATGGCTCCTTCTGTGTCTGTCTGTCCACCTTTTCATACTGAGACTGAACCTAGGGCTTGCTTGTGCTTGGCAAGTGTTCTACTATTGACTTGTTTCCTTGGCCCTATTTTCGCTTTTTATTTTAAGGCAGAGTCTAGGCGGCCCAGACTGGCTCTGAACTCTTTCTGTTCTCCTGACAGCCTCTGAACTTGTGATCCTCCTGTCTCAGCCTCTGGCATAGCTCAGATTACAGGCCTGTGCCACCAGAGCCAGCAGCTTCTCTACCCGATCCCAGCCCCACACCTCAGCTCCCCTCCTCCCTCCTCCCGAGGATGCTCGCTCCACAGCCCGGCTCACGTTTCCTTTTGGGGAATAGTTTGTAGAAGTTCTCCGGAGACAGGTTATGCAACAGTGTGCTCACACTTTTTGGAAACTCCATGTAGGAGGTTGGCATTCGTTTCTATTCTCCACATCAGTGACGAGCCTGGACTCTGGCCAGTGAGTTCCGTTCTTAGAATGGAAACTAGAGAGCCAGCCCATTGGCTGCCTGTTTTCTCCTCCACACTGAGAACACTCTGTTACTCTGGCTGCGTCAAGGGCTGTGTGTGTGTGTGTGTGCACATGTGTTTGAAGAGGGACATTTGCTGGGCACCTACTGTATGCCACAGGCTTCTGTTATCTCGTTTGGTCCTTATTTGACTTCTAAAATAAGCCCGTGAGTAGTAAACACTGTTAGTATTCACACTTGGCAGATAAGGAACCTGAGGCTCAAAGAAAGGCTTGATTTGCCCAGAGCCACACCTCCAGAAAGGGGCAGAGCTGAACTCCAGCCCAAGTCAGTCTGACTCCTCTCCACAAAGTGCATCGGGATGGTTACAGTTTACATAAAACTCTCACCCACATAACCTCATCTGCTTTCCCCAGCAAAGTGAGCATAACTATTGCCTATTTCACAGATGAAAACCTCACAGTCAGCTGGTGTGTAGAGGGTCTCCTCAGCAGGAATAATCAAACTAAGAACCACAATGGCTAGAGCTGTCGCTCAGAGAGAAAGCCCTAGATTAACACGCAGAAGCTTTTGGATTCTGTCCCCAGCGCTGCAAACCAAACAATGGTAACACAATTAAGAAATATCTGGAGAATGTGTGTATCTGCCATCACTCCACAAATTTCCAGTTTATCCCTGTACAC